CTGTTGTACTTTCTCTCTGTCAGGTATTGAAAACTAGGCTGACCCTGAGGAAAACTGGCCAGTATTCAGGAATGTTTGATTGTGCCAAAAAGATCCTGAGGAAAGAGGGTGTCAAGGCTTTCTACAAGGGCTACGTGCCAAACTTAGTGGGCATCATTCCTTACGCTGGGATAGACCTCGCTGTATATGAGGTATGCTGACCTTTAGTGATATCTCACAACAGAGTGCACTTTGTTAAATTAACTACTTAATATGCAGGATAAACCAGAGCTACATTAAATTATTAGATAAATAAATTATTGCATTATGCTGATGCACACTATTTCTATTCATTTTTCTCCTGTGTGTCAGACTCTGAAGAACACGTGGTTGTCGTACCACGCCAATGACTCAGCTAACCCAGGAGTTCTGGTGTTGGTGGCCTGCGGGACCATCTCCAGTACCTGCGGCCAGCTGGCCAGCTATCCACTTGCACTTGTGCGCACACGGATGCAGGCACAAGGTAAACTCAGTCTGACATTTGATGGCAGTGGTGACAAAACCTGCATGGCACATAAATTAGGCAGTGCATAATATTTTTCATGATAGGTGAGATGTTTATGTGGTGACAAAAGTCTGTAAAGGCAGCTTATGTTTTTTCTGTAAACATACACTTGAGTTGAGCATGTAATAAGTGGGCTGTGATGGAGAAGTGCTGCCTTTAAAGGGATAGTTTGGATCTGTTGAAGTGGGGTTGTGTGAGGTATTTATCCACAGTCAGTGAATTATGTAGAGTAGATGGCAGTTGGTGCACTCCTGGTTTGGAGAAGTGGCAGAAGTAGCACAAGGCGTGTTGCAGCGCAAAAACCATGAGCAAAAAGCTTCATTCTCATTAAAAACAATTACTAAAAGCCGCCTCCAGCTGCTAAAACACTTTCTGTGTGATCAGGGCTAAAACAACCAAAAGCAACCGATATCAGTTAAAGCGTGCACTATATCAATCGCACGATTGTGCGATTTCCAACGTGGAAGCTGTTAACTGCTTCAATTTCTCATCTTTGCTCTCGTCAAAGCCACCAGACTCCATTGACAAAAACAATAATTTTAGCTTGCTGGATGCAGGAACAGCTTGTCTACCACTGCTCGGTTAGTTTGTGCTATTGTGTGACTTTGGTGAATCCGAATGAACCCCTTTAAAACACCAACGTCACACAATAATACCACTTTACTAACTAAACGAGGCAGCGGTAGACCAGCAGCTCCTGTTTTCAGCAACGTTAAATTGCTGTTTTTCTCATTGGAGTCTGGCTTTGAAAAGAGCAATATATCTGCTTCAGTGTCCTGTCAGAAATCGTCTGTCTGGTAAGGCAAATGGGGAAAAATATACTAAATATAGCGTACACTTAAACTGCTATAAATTTTTAAGTTGGCTAAATTCAGTTTTGTTGATGACCCTCCACATCAGTAAATGGCTTGTGTCAGTACTCCAGCCTGCTTCTCCAAACTGGGGGCATGCCAAATGACATCTACTGTATGTAATACACTGACTATTGATAAGGACCTCACGCAACCCCACTTCAAAACATCCAAACTATCCCTCTCAACATACAGTACAAGAATAAAAAACATCCTTTCAGGTGCACCACCACCTCCCTAACTTCCTTTTTCTCTCCAGCGTCCCTGGATGCATCAGACCAGTCCTCCATGAGCAGCCTCATAAAGAAGATTGTAGCCAAAGACGGCTTTTTCGGACTCTACCGGGGCATCCTGCCGAACTTCATGAAAGTTATCCCCGCTGTCAGCATCAGCTACGTGGTTTACGAGTACATGAAGACTGGTTTAGGAATTTCCAAATGATGCTGCAAGCAGATTAAAAAAAAAAACTTTATTTGTCAGACTTGAAAATGCGTGAAAATAACTCCAAGAAAACAGACAGACACCAAACATACAGAGCATGACTTCCGCCAGCTGGCCACAGGAGTTCAGCGGATGGAAAGCTGTATGTATCCCACTAAGGGTCATCTGTCAGTAGCTAAAGCATTTATCATTGTGCTGAGCATGCTTTGATTTTTATCCTGCTGTTATACATAACGCACACTCCCAAAACATGTGCACGGTCCTAAGCAATATTTGACATAAAGATAGCACTGTTAGTAAATACATATGTAGAGTTCAGAAAACATACATGATGATTTTATTCTTTTAAAACTGTGATCAAACCAAAGTGGTAGCTCAACAAGACAGAATATTGTGCTTTTTGGGAACAAAAGAAACATATTCTGTGGTCTTTTTTTTGATGTCAAATGACACTACGCCAGTCCACACCCTTCAGAGGTAATTTAACACCTTTCTAAGTTGTAAACGCCTTCCCCAGGAGTGACATCAGCGCCAGAAAGACACTGCTCCAGTCTGCAGCTGTCAACTAAAAATAACTGGCTGTGAAAAATCACGAAGTTTTTAACACTGGAATACTGTCTGAAAACAAAAAGCATCTTGTGCAATGTGAAAACCACTAATTCTGTGTGTTATTTGATGATCATTTAAATGTGCCTTACAGCCACTCAATGTGAACTCTCTGATATCAACAGATGTGTTTTATACTTTATATATATATATATACTGTATTTATGTACTGTGTATATATATATCCGTTTTCAGTTCTGGTTATTTATGGGTGTTGTTGATGCTACTAACACTTGGAAACAGTAACAACTGCTCGTTGGACTGAAATACTTGAAGGAGTATGCTTTTTGTCTTGTGTCACTTCTCATTTCAACTCATGAAGACCCCCACCCTCAAACGCACACATACACACCCACAACAGGATACAGTTACCTTTAACACTGTGTGACCTGTTCTTCCACACAGCGCAGTGGTGGAACGTTTGTATCCAACATGTACAATGACAATCAGCCTGTTGTCTTTAATATAAATTGATTTAATGTGGATTTTAAGAAACTAAAACAGGTCTCAGACTCGATAGTTGTGAACTTGAACATGTGTAAACTTCACTTAGAAGTTTAACGTGGTCTGTTGATGGGAGGCTTATTTGAGAACAGTGGTTGGGCGGTGTAAAGGTCAGGATGGGGGACTGCATAAAAAAAACAATCGAGGTTTGTTAACAGCTCTGCCTGCTGGTCAATAAAGACAAAACACATGGACACATTTTTATGCTAAGTATACCACATCATTATAATTTATAGCATTTTAAACTAAAGTTGTGGGGTTTTTTTCACTTAATCATCTCAGTCCAGGGGTGTTAAATGTGTTTTTATAATGAATACAGCTTGTCCAATAAAGAAGGAGCCAGATGGAGTCAAAATGGGCAGCAAGAGACTCTTCAGTGACAAAGCAGGTAAAATACAGACTCAGTAAAAGACTTAGAAAATTATTTCATCAGCTTTATATTTGTGATTTGGTTCTCTGGCTTTGCTACAGAGTATTTTTATCATCATGCTTATTCCAAGTTCTCACAATTTTTTGAATTGGCTTTCATTCATTATACAAAAGGATTTGTGAAAATTCTTCGAAGGCAGTATTAAAAGGATTCTTCCCAAGAGGAAAATGGGTTATATCTTAATCAACCAAATGAGTGAATGAACCTGATCAAATGATTCTATACATGACTCTGTCTCAGTTAATCTATCTGCACAGCATACACATGAAAAAGATACACAGATATACAGGTTTTTATCAGGAGCCTCCCTGCAGCCAAGAATGCTACCTGGGCTAAGTGACATGACTAGTAAAGAGTGCGTGGTATCATATTACTAATTATGTCAAGAAAGAATTTGATTTGATTATGGACACCAAAATGATTGATTATGCACAACAGTACTAACATTTATATTAGATAAGTTGAGACAGACCAAGAGACCATAAAGAAACCACATGATGGCACCATATGATCCCCCCAAAGTCTACAACACTAGGTGTTTTGCTGCTTAAATGTAATGGAAATAATACCTATCAAGTTTATAATTCCACAAAGTAAAGTACATTCTATAATGTCACTGTATGTGTATTACATCTGTAAACAATCTTCTAGTTTTATTGAAGCAAATAAGACACATAAGTACTTAAATTTTAACAGCCAAGGGATACTTAATATTAAAACACCTGTAAATTCATGGCATTGAAATATCTTACTTTGAAAACTATGTTTTTGTTCTGAATTCACTTCTCTGAAATAACAAATTTCTTGATTTGCAATTTCAAAAACTACATTTGAATATATATATTTCAATGTTCATATATTCAGATGCAAAAAAATAATCAAGTTTCAGAATAAAAATGAAATCAACTTGAATGTTTTGAATTACATTTAATTAAGCATCTATCTATTTTATTAATTCTGAAACCTTTTTGGGGATCTGAATTGGTGAACATTGAAAAAAATATATGTATTTCTTTCCTTTGAAACAGTAAAGTAATACATTTCATATTTTAATTTCAAAAAGGCCACACCAGAACAAATAAATTCAAGGATGCTACATGGATTTCAAAGTAAAATTGAAATCAAGGTAAAATATCTCAATACAAAAAATCTAGTTTCAGAATTAAAATTCAAGTTTCAGAATTAAAAAAAAAAAATCAACTTGAATTTTTGGAATTGAATTGAAGCAACCTGAATCTGTTGGGGGGTTTTTTTGGCATTGATGAACATTGAAAAAAAAAAAAATTCAATTTCAGCTTTAGAAATTGCAAATCAATAATTTTCATATTACAATGTCAAAGAGATGAATTCAGGACAAATACATTCAGAGAGGCTACATGCTAATGCTATGAATTCAGTTGTATTTAAATTTCAATGTTGAATGAATCAGAATGAATATTTTTTGTTTCAGTGACATACATCTGGAGGAACAAAGATTGTTTCACACAAATGTTCGCAAAAAGGAATAGGCTTAAGCCCCAGGTTTATTTTTGCCTATCGTATAAATATTATCTACATATAACTAAAATACAAACATTTATGTCTCTTATTTGCTTCCATATAGTTTCCTCATTCCTCCTGTGACAGGCAAACGGTATGAACGGGCCCACCAATTTGGTCCTAGCCGCACACCGTAGTTGGGGTGCCACCGCGCTGCTGTTGTCGTAGAGAGGTTGGCCCTCCGCTGAAAACAAATTAACTCCAGCAGGAATCGGTGAGTTTGTCGCTGTGTCATTTCAACACGGTTTTGTTTTCGTCGCGTTTTATTAATCGACTCTGACGTCGAATAAAAGACATAAAATAAAAGACGCGGAGCCAGTTGTCAGGAAGTGACAGCTAGCTGCTAGCTAACTGTAAGCTAAAAATATTCCCCTGCCGAAGTGATTTGAGGTGGGCACAGCTGAGCTGCCAGAGGGGACACTGTGGTAGGTTACAGCTAGCATGCTTCGGTGCTCACTGCTCTGAATGAGTCGCTAAATTATATGTCTAATTTAATTTGGGAAGTTAAAACTTGTTGCTCGGTGAGCAGCTGGTTAGTGGGCGTTAACCGTCGGTGCTGTGTTAGTCTGACAGGATGATTGTATTAACGCTAAGCGGTCGTTGCAGTCTTATCTGTTGGGGCAAGTCGAGGTTCACAGTTAGGAGACCCTTCTGCTACAATTACTTGCTTTTATCTGAGACTGTCTAGCCTACCGATAAGCCTGTTAGCCTGTCTGCTAAGCCGTTTAGCATCAACCAGACAATGTATCTTTAAAATGTCTCCTCTTGCAGCTGTCAAGATGGTGTTTAGCATTTTAAATCAGCCACATATCACACTTTCAGACTGTATTTTAGTGGTGTCACAATAGGTTGTAGCTACCCCCAGTTTGTGCCTTGCATTTGTTGTCATTGCATCGTCATAGGAATACATGAGAGGCACAAACTGGGGCTTGTCTGTGGCAGGTATTCACAGCAATGTATGTCTTCTACATATTGTTAACTCTTCTTGAATCTTAGCCTGACATGAGAGCAAGCATAAGACACAGCAAGGTTCCTCAGGCTGCTGTATTATTAATATTCATTAATGAGTTTGTTCACATGGGTGCACCTTATCACATTCAAAGACCTTATGAAAGGACATGAAATCAACACCAGCTATTGTGTTGTTCACTACTGATTCATTTTTTATCTGTTTCTAGTGTCTAAAAGGCCATGTTACAGTAAAGTTAACCCTTCAGTATATGGTTTGTGCCCAAACATACAAGAAGTTGTCTTTTCTTTCCAATAGCACCATAAATAGTGAGGCATCATGGGCAACACAAGTGACAGGGTGTCCGCAGATCGCCATGGAGCCAAGGCCCACCGCTCAGACAGCAGCGGTCACAAAGACCATGAACCCAGCAGCAAGATGGTGGACAGCACAGACGACCCCAACATCTTCAACACCCACGGGCCAGAGTCCAAGGTGGTGCTGGAATAATGCAGATTATTTACAGAATATTCTTTGTTGTGCTGTATTACCTTTCAGATGTTTGTGTCATTTGTTACATATTATTGTTGGGTTATCATTTAACTGGTTTTAGGAGCAGAAAGAGTCAGATCTGGGTGACCAGGTAAAAACTGGTCCTCAGGCTCGACCCACGGTCATCCGCTGGGCTGGAGGGGGAAAAGAGGTTTACATCGCTGGTTCCTTTAATAACTGGAGCACAAAGATACCTCTCAATAAGAGGTAAACTTCCATGCAATTATATCTCTGTTTATCCATCTTAGCTCCAGTCATATGTGACACCCGTAGAGTTTAAATTGAGAGGAAAGCCCAGTATTAACACTCATACTCTTTCTTTCCTTCCTCCAAAGCCATAATGACTTCGTAGCGATCCTAGACCTGCCAGAAGGAGAGCACCAGTACAAGTTTTTTGTAGACGGACAGTGGGTCCACGATGCCACAGAGGTACATCAGTGTCATTTTTATCTTATTGTCATTCTCATGTTATTGAACGATTTCCTCAGGCGCTGTCTACATGTGTACACATATTTTTAAAAACTTTTTTTATTTTTCCACTGTGTTTTAAGAAATAATTCTGTCTACACATCCTTTGTTCGATATCTCTGCCCAAACTAGAGCGCGCGAAAATGACCCCAAATGCTGCCAGCGTTAGCCGACCTCAGCAGTCTCCCCTCGTCACAAAGGTAGTAAAATGTCCAGGATAAAGTTACCTTTTTTAAAACACCAACTGGAGATCTCATCATTGTCGATTCCTGCTCTATATAAGGATAAAGAAGCTCAACTCAAACATACAAAGTGATGCTCAGAACATGCTTAAGTTTTCCCACCGTTTCCCATTGACAACAGTCCCACTTTAGGAAGTGTCACACCATTTGCTGGCTTGATCCAATACTGTCGTTTCTGGTGGACTTTAAACCACTGGCACTGAGGTAGACCAGATAACAATGGGTGCAGCACTACTAAATTTGAGTGTAAATTATTCATTAGACCAAGGCCATCGTTACTTTTGTTTCTAATGTATGCTCCTTACACAAAGCAACAATGGGCATGCATGAATTGAGAGATTAGGTCATTGTTTCTCATCGGTCTGTTTTACATGTCCACACAGATAAACAGTAACCAGGGTTTTGAAAAATCTGTATTTTAGAAGCAGGGATTAAAGTTCTCTGTCACTATGCCGGATTTCTGTCATTTGGAGGGCGTATTTAAACTTGATGGCTGCATTAGAGAACATCAGCAAGCGTTACGTGTGGGATGGTGCTGAAATCTTGTAAATATATATCTTGTGTCATTTGTTTAGCCGGCGTAAAGTATATGTATTATGAATTGCAGATGGGATATATGACTTGGCTGCGGCATGAAAAAAATTCACTTAAAATGTTATTTTTTATTCTTTCCATCACTGTAGAGGGCATTTTAAATCGTCTCAGTTTTAGTGAACTTAAATTCCATTCGTATGTGGACGAGAGGTGAAGAAAAAATACACATTTACAAATATGTCTGTATATTTGTAGACAGCCTTAATCTCTAACAGGTCAGTTCCAGCCTGTGTATTTTGGCTTGTGACAAAGATCTGTAATGTTACGTCAAGAAGTCTTCAAGAAACTTACATAAAAATCTCATCAATTCCAAACCCTTAAGTGCTGACTGATGTTGTCAGTGTTGCTGATGTCATGGTATTGTCATAGTATTGGTCAGCTTAGACCACAGGAGAAGTATGCAAACATTGCTGTGTGCTATTTTAAAGTCTTCAGGCCATCCTGCTAATCGTGTAAATGCAACTGAGGTCACAACAGCATCATCAAATCCCAGGGAAATGTGTGCTGTCAATGATAATTATAAAAATGCTTAATCATTACCTTCTTGACACCCTTATCTTTTGCAGCCGGTTGTAACCAGCCAACTCGGCACCATAAACAACCTGATCCAGGTGAAGAAGTCAGACTTTGAGGTGTTTGACGCTCTTCATGTTGACTCTCTGGAGTGCTCCGACACATCAGGTTAGTTAATGTCCAAAATGTTCTTACAGTGCAGTAAACACTGATAAAAACTAAACAGTCAAAGCCTTTAAACCCAGTCAGCAGTGTTATCATGACTGTTGTATGTTTGCAGACCTGTCCAGCTCCCCTCCAGGTCCATACGGGCAGGAGCAGTACATCTTCAGACCTGAGGAGCACTTCAAAGCCCCACCTATACTCCCTCCTCACCTCCTTCAAGTCATTCTCAACAAGGACACCAATATTTCTGTCAGTGCCTCCACCTTTCCTCTCGCCACATCTCTCACATCCACCATAATTTCCCCAGACATTGATTTTTTTAATTGCATTTGTAGCTGTTTACCAGTTTATTTGTGGTTTGTAAGTTTTTCTCTCCCTCTCTCTCGGCAGTGTGACCCTGCCCTGCTGCCTGAGCCCAACCACGTCATGCTGAACCACCTTTACGCTCTGTCGATAAAGGTAGGGTCACTGGAAAAAAGCTGAAATACTTCTCATATGTTTCCAGATATTACTGGCACCACATGAAGTACAGGTTTCCCCCCAGCTTTCAAACTGTAAATCCCTGAGCGAGAGGAAGGGTTTGAATCTCCCTTACCTCTCAGCCAGTGTAGATGGCAGGGCAGTAACAGCTAACGTAACATAATAGCCTTTAACTAGGGGTGTAAATCACAAGTTCAATATAATACCAGTAATCTTTGGACAATGATTCAGCACTTTTTGATATCACAAAGTCCGCCATGATACGATTTTTGTTTCAGTTCAGGGGCCTGCGATCAATATGAGACGATATCTGTGATATCAGTAATTATCTCCGTCATCTTTAGTGTGGCTGATTAGCATTATCTGCCTGATGCTAGGACAATAGCACTGTTTAAGTATTCAGGAATAAGGTGTGCTTAGATAAAAATGATGACACAGCAGTGCCACAGAATTTCAAAAATTCATCATTGAATTGATATAGTGATCCAAATTGAAACTCTACTATCTAGACTAATTTGATCTCACTTGTCTTTTCTCAACATGACTCAGTTGCACACACCTAAAGGCCTCATACTTTCCATGGATTATGTTGTTTTTGTCTTCTCTTCCTACGAAGGTGAACAAGTGTCTCTGAAAATATTTACACAGCAGATCTGTGTGTACTATTGAGATTAAGGCCCTTAAACTTTTAAATGCCAATGTGCGTTACTGTGACAAACAAAAGGATTTGAGCCTGCATAACTTTTAGTATTCTTACAGCAACAAAAATGTCTTCAGAATGGTTGCACTAATCCTAAGTATGATGTTAGACAGTTTTACAGTTTAAAAAAATACATGTTTTCATGAGCTAGCTGCTAACTGCCACTGCTGCCACTAACAGTCTCTGCAAACCTATCCAATAGCTCCATCATCCACAGTCAGACACACACGGCTGCTTATTTACTGCTGAATTACAGCTCACTACTCACACTAAAGGTTGACGCTGCTCCTTGTGAGTGTTTGCAGCCTAGCAAAACATCCTGGCCTATTTAGAAGAGTTTGCCAGCCCATCGCTGCTCCGATCTCATACTGCTCATAAAGCTTTAGAAACAACCGCAAGCACGGCTGTTCCTGGCTTCCTAGTTTAAAACATTTCCAATGAAATTTCCATGAAATTATTTATTACTCAGTTCTCCTCTCGTCTTATTTTGAATGTCCGATAGTCCCTCACTGACGCTTTCTTCCTGTTTCGTCTCCAGAGTGAAAATGAAACACACATTTCGTCATTGTTTTTAAAATCAAGATCTGTTTTAACTTGTCAGCGTCTCGTCTTCCTCATGGAAGGTTTTCGAATGAAATTGATACCAGCATGAACATTTTATGGCCTCAGTGAAGTCAAAGCCTTGTTCAGAGTCTAAGATGAACTCCGGATTATACTTATCTCAATTGTGCGACTTGAGGTGATCCCCCGGAATAAGCAGGCACACTGCATCCGGAGCATGTGGAGTATCACCAAGATGGAAGATGTCCAAACATTGTCATTTGCTAACAGCTAGCTATTTGGGACCAGGAAGTTTCCAGGGACAAGTGTTCATGCCAAAAGTTAAATCCCTGATGCTTGAAGTGTTTGAGTTACAGTGCAACATGTCAGGTTTCTCTTTCTTAATCTGTTCCTCTAACTACTGGAGCAAGCGATGGAGAGCAAGCTGCACCCAGCATGCTGTGTAACAGTTAATCGGTGTCCCCTACAGTACACAGTTTGTACTCCTACTCACTACTAATAAGTATTTCCCAAAGCAATATATCCACAAAGTGGGAAGTGGATCAGATACGTGGTTTTAGAGACAACTGAAGGACAGACATGCAGAGAAACAGACTCCTTCCACTTCATCGTCAGATGCTGTGTGGACCAGTGGTAGTTCATCATGTTTATTTGCTCTGTGGGTTTGGGTTCCACTAATGACAGCTCGCCTGCATATTGTGTTTCTGTCTGTGCAGGATGGAGTCATGGTGCTGAGTGCGACTCACAGATACAAGAAGAAATACGTCACCTCTCTGCTTTACAAGCCTATCTAAACCTCAACTCGGGTGCTCCTCAGTGCTTTTAGAGAGCAGCATGTTTGTATTCTGCTGTTGTTTTCTTTCTGTATCATCACGTTTAGCCAAATGAACTTGCACTGAAACAAGTTTACAGGCGAGCTGAAGGCCAGTGGCTGTGACTGTGGCTTGGTTTTTAAGAGGTTGCACTTCTGTCTACATAGGGCTCTGAACAAAAGTAGCGAAGTGTGTGTGTGTGTCTGTGTCTGTGTGTGCGTGTGTGTGTGTGTGGGGGCGGGGGGGGTGTCAGAGAGAGATGAAAACCATACTGTGGCTTTTTTTCCTGTGACATCTACAGACAGAGACTGACTAAATCACTGTGTGTGTTTGAGTGTTTGCTGCACTTTGTGAATATATGCATGTCTGTGTGTAAAGCGAGATGTTTTTTAAAATGCTGGGAGTAAGTGAAAGGGGCGATGTGTGGAGGATCGGGTTCTTTTGAGGACTTTTGAGTGTTACTGATGTGGATTAACATTTTGACTTTTAAGTGTTGTGTCGTCAAATCTTTGAACCGATTGATAGCATTTATGGCAAGTGCATACAGAATGACTCAGTGTGTCCAGAGTGAGGGCCTGTAGGTGCTGGAGAGAGCAGCATTGCTTAAACATTAAGTGCAATAACCTGCTGGAAAGAGATGTGAATTTTAACTCGAGATAGACTCACAAGCATGACAAACAAGAACAGGATGAGGAGGCAGCAGTGAACGTGTTACTTTGTCTGTACATATTACATATTGAATTTCTCACAGTTTAGCCATCATTCAGTGGAATCTACAGCGTCAGCTCAACCACCAAGAAGTCCAGAATTCCAGTTTGGTTCATGTTATCAGTCCCTCCAGGATATTGCAGGCTTTTATTGGGATAGTTGCGGCCTTAAGTCTAAAATTGCAGTTCATGTTACTCTGTTTTTACAGCTTTCTTTGCAATTAAATTGTGGAAACAAGTGGAAGGCATCTAGTTACAGTGAGAAGAAAAACACCCTGTTGTGAGTTTGTGACCCTGCATATTTAGCAGCTGGGAGAAATTGTCCTCGAGGGCTTTCTGCCAGAAAGAGACCTCTTGGTTAATGTTTGGAAAAAAGTAGTGGTTTGAGTTTAAATTCTGGGAGAAAGCCTACAAGGAAAACTTCTTCCATGTATTTAATCTGAGCTACGTTGATGCTCCCAGCACGTGCAAGAGACGTGAATGCAACAGCCTCTGTGATGGTGATTTGTCTTACCTGTCACCAGATTTGTTTTGTGTCAGAAAGGTGTTGGTCAATTGATGTCGTCTGTGTTCCATCACAGTGTTGCAGAACAGTTTACCCCGCCCTCGTGCAAAACATCAGGGAATTACCTCGCTCGGTCTTCGGCAGTAATTTTTGTCGGTAAATGTGAGACATTCGTGTTGCACGTCTGCAGCTTCACAACCAGACCAGATTTTACTGTGCATGACACCCTGCCTTCATTTATTGGCATTGCTAGAAACAAGGAAGTGAGTGTGGTGACGTAATGCTGCTGTGATTGGTGAAACTCATGGGAAACTACTATGATTTGTGATTAGACACAATTGAAAGGTCGCACAGAATTCACAGGGTTGAATTTGGGTTAATTGCTGCAATCGCAACATCCTGGAGGGGCTGTTTTCTGGTAACTATTAATTTCTGTGTCAACACTTTCCAGATGGGGAACAGAGGTCAAAGGTCAATGTTTAGTTCTGCTGTTGCCTTTATCCTGACATAATTTAGCGAGCACTTTACCATCCTGTGAGCAGGAGTGTTGATATAAGCTTTTAACTATGCAGCAGACAACCCTTACTGTACTGTAGCTTCTCTGGATCATAGAGCCCAACTTGTGCTTTGACTTCTTTAGATATGATGAACTTTGCAGTGCTTTATTTGTGTGCGTGTGCATCTGTATTGAGTTGTATTTATCAAACAGGAATGTACTGTGTGTGTCTGTCACATGTGTAGTCATACACACGGGCAGTTTTTAACCTGCTGCTTTGCATGCATTAAATGTCTGCGACTTGTGTTGATCCGACACATTTACTGAGCGTGGTGCACATTGGGATGCAGATCGACGGCATTCAGATGAATTTACAGGGCTATGAGGATAGGTAGTTGCCATTGATTTTAAAAGTGTACAAAGTTTGCTCTCACGTGTTCTTTAAAGTGTAAACCATTTAAGGTGATCTGTATTTTAAGGTAAGGTGGCTTTGAAAGTTATTTTTGTCACGTGTTGTTTAATTGTCTGCATTTACAGTTAAGTATATATAAATATACTCGTGGTTGATACACGCCACAGACTTATAAACGGGGCTTTCAAAGATCCTGTTGGTGTTCAACTAGACGCTCTGAAAGTATTTTGTGAATGTCGAGCCTAGCCTTGAAGTTTCGTCCAAAGAGTTTTTAAATCTTATAGATGTGATAAGGGAGACTGGACAAGCGCCGTGGACGTGGTGTTTTAAGGCTAAAACCAAAACTTGAATTTTACAACCGTTTCATGAATGTTTTAAAATGCTTTGCAGAACCAGTGTGATGATTCACTGTACAAGGTTTTACTTGTTTGCAAATAAAGAGAGGACACGCTGGTCCTAATCCCTGTCTGTCTGTCTTTTTTTAATATATATATAGTATGAGAAGCCTGTATTCTGTCCTCTGGCTTGGATCCTTTTTCCAAGTTTTTTTGTGTCTAAGTAACTAATGGAGATAAGTTTTGAAATCTGTCCTGCATCGAGTGAGACAGGCTGCAATGAAATCACTAGGGGCATGTTTGCACCGTCAATTTATATCCATTAGAAATGCTTGTTTTTGCCATTGACAGGCTCAGATTATTATTGTAAGTGTCTGACAACATTGTGGAAAGGTTCCCTACACAGATAGACCATTGTGATAAAGAGTACAATGCTTTTTGTTTAACCAGAAACAGCCCCGAAACTGCCATCACCAACCCACCAGACTCCATTTGAATAAACAGTAATTTTAGTCTGTACAAAGCCAGCATATTGTCACATCTAACCGGGTGAAGTAAGGATTTATTTCAACCAAACCAGTGCTGGTAATTGCTGGAACAGTGGAAAGACAAACCAGGATGGTTTCAGGGAGTCTTATTTAGTTTATGTCCACTTTGAATGAAGTGTGTTTTATGAAGATAAAATTACTGTGTTTTTAAATGGAGATTGGGGGGGATTGGCGATGGCGATTCCAGGGCTGTTTCTAGATAAACAATAAGGATCTAACTCTTTAACAAAAATGTGTTTCTCTGTAGAGATGCTTTGACAAGATACTGGCAAAAACGAATGGTTACACTGCATACTAAAAGTGTTGTCTTCATTAGTCAGTTAGACACAAAAGCATGGGAAAATAATGGCCAGCTTGAACAAACAAAATTTACCCTTAGAACAAGTCTGAAGTTTATTTGTTCAGTTTATTCATTCATTCATTTTCCATAACTGCTTATCCTGTGAGGGGTCACGGGGGGCTGGAGCCTATCCCAGTTGACATTGGGCGAGAGGCAGGGTACACCCTGGACAGGTCACCAGACTATCACAGGGCTGACACATAGAGACAGACAACCATTCACACTCACATTCACACCTACGGACAATTTAGAGTCACCAATTAACCTGCATGTCTTTGGACTGTGGGAGGAAGCCGGAGTACCTGGAGGAAACCACACTGACACAGGGAGAACATGCAAACTGTTTATTTTGATCTATTAAATCCATGCACTTTAGATATGTATTTCCCTTGATGCCTGTATGTATGGTCCAACATTTTGTTTTTATACCCTGGTCTCTGAGAAACAATATTTCATTTCTGTTTTATAACACCTGGAATAACAAATTGAGTAAAACCTCAGAATTTTCTTGCGTTAGTAACTGATGTTCTCTATTCTGGAATGAAGATGCACATATGGTCTCCATGTTTTTCTATATCTGTCATTCATTACCAATGTAGTTAAAAAAGATGTGTAGCAGCCTGGTGTTACGATTTCTCCTTAGACATTAGCTCAAGGTCCACACAGTTAAATATATTGTCGTTGAGCTAGTTTGCTGTCTCTGTTAAGTAGCTGTCCATTATTCACTCACTCTACAGCAGAGGATGGCACTTCAAAATAAAAGCTCTGTGCCAGAAATTTACTGTACCTTAAAATAAAGAGTTTCTTACAAGTTGACACATTCAGAAGTCTCTTCTGGTCCATACAGAATGGACCCACGACCCACTTTTGCACCGTGACCCACCAGTTGGGAACCACTGCTCTTGAATGAATTAAATACAGACTTTTATCTTGTACTAACAGCACAGGTAGACGCTGATCAGGATTCAAAAATTAAAGAAATCAACAAGAACCAGTTTGAAGAAAAGTCAACCACACAAGCGTTTTAAGTGTTTTATTCATTCTTTCCCAAAATCTTTCACTGATAATACTTTTGCCAACACAGCAAACTGTTAACTGTCATCAGAGACAGGATCCTTATGAGTCCTGTATCGGCTTTCTAGTTCATAATGCACAAACTCCGAAAAAGCTGCTTTCCAATCACATAAAAGCTTCACCAGTCAAATAGCACTATATACATACGCAACTCAGGACCAGCAATACATTGTTTCAAACTGCCGTTTGATTCCCTTCTTAATAACAAACAGCAAAAAGGCTTTGTTTACGCTCTAACAAGGTGCTTTGTGGATCCAGCAGGTCACAATCTTTCCAGTCATTGGCTTTCTTTTTTTTACAGTATACAATTCTTTAAAACTTTTCCCTTCAAATTTCAAAAGGCAATATCAAATTTTTTACCTTTATTTAAATACTTGGCAACATCTGTCTTCTAATGAAGACTCGAGCGCAAACAAAACCTAATTTGGCAGATCTCAGGTAGACAAGCGCAGGTTCAAGGCCATTTCTACCACTGAGAGCAAACTGAAGAAGCTCTCGAGCTAAATTTAAAGGCAAGCGAAGCAACGATAATCAGAGCTTTGTTATAGATGGACGATATTGTGATCAGTGACTAAGATATCATGAAGGCATAGTTTGTGATTTCTTATCAGATGCAGCCTATGTGACTAATTGATTCAAAGTGACGTAATCCTCTAACAGACACTGCATATAAATCATACATCGCAGGAAGTGAACGCGGCAAACATACTCGTAATACAATGATGTTTAACATCAAAATAAAACAGATAAAGCTATTGCACAGCTACCCAGAAAATCAACTTTGCAAAAAGCAAATGTTGGATGTTTTTTTTCACACACACACTCACACACGTGCGCGCACACACACACTCACACCAAAGTTCATACAGAACAAGCCGGTTATTTACAGCATCAAATGGCAAATGTACAGCAAAACACATCAAACTAAATCTGAACCGTTACAAGCGAGTGAATTAAAGAACGACGATCCTACCAGTAGCCTGCCAAAGTTTGCATCATCTATGAGAACTTGATAACCTATATTGCCATTGCCATGGGAATGCTAAGATGGCCTGAACCAAGAGAAATAACATGAAGACAATAGCATATGGCCACATGGGAAAAACCCACTGTTGAGTTTTGGTCCAAATAAAGGAGCTCATTTCTGTCGCACATTTCCAAATACACCGAACCAGCTGTCTGACGGTTACCGTCTCTGTGGTTCTGAAGGCCCTCTGAAATAAAAAGACACCTCGGTATCCCTACGGTCTGATCAGACCCGGGTTTGTCATTCGCATGGATAAGGCAAGTCAAAGTGAAGTAAAGAGATCAAAGTTCAAACTTTGGCAAGTATTGGCAATCCCCTGTTCCGTAGCTTAGATTTTACAATCTCTGTCATGCATCAACACTCTGGTAAAAAGTACAATCATAACACTGATCGTGTCCTAACGTTATTCGTGAGTGTGACTAATAATCCAGTGTCAAGCAAAAAAACAAAAATAACCCGGTGCAGCATGGTCATTCAAGAAACAACATCATTATTGCACATGCTCGTATGAGAACTCCTACAGAGGAGCTTGAATACGCGTGTTTAGCCTGGTTCCATTTGAGCACGTAAACCTCTTTTTTACTTATTCTAGTGCAGTGGCTCTCAACTAGGAGTCAGTGAGGGAGTTCAAGGGTCCCCAGAAAATGGGGAATATGTTTTTTCACTATTTAATTTACTATAGAAGTGAGGTAAGGGTGCTTTTTATTATGCTAACTTCCTCTCTCCTCCCCTGACCTGGAAATCGTTTCCCATCCGCCATCATGGTGGACCTTACAGTCCCTTTAAACACCTCAAGGAGACAGGAAGTGAGGAGAGAGGAGTTTTGGAGGAGCTTAGAGTGAGGACGCATCTCTTCCTTTCTCACATCCTCGCTGAGAGGAGCTAAGATGTGAAAAAGAGACGCGAGTGGAGACCCGTTAGCATAATGAAAAGCACCCTGTTTCACTTCCTTCACGTTTATCTTCTCATGTGGGTTGACAGCTTTAGAATTCAGGTCCTAATCATATCTAACAACCAAAATCTTTTCAGATGGAGGTCCCTGAAGTAAAATCAAATCAAACAGGGAGCTGTTTGTGTATCAATTTAGGGGCTGAGAACCGCCACTCTAGCGTACATCCTGCTCAGAAATCACAACCAACCAGATTGTTAAAGACTTAAACGTACTCTTTTTTTGACTTATTTCAGTAGGTAGATGCCACAAACAGCATCGTTAGGACCCTAAAAGAGGCGATTTGTGACTGAAATGGAACCTTTCTCTAGCTTTTGTTCTGCTATTCATAACCCTTGGCTGATGGCTGACAAAGCATTCATAAGCTTCCTCCACAAACACAGATACAGCTAGTACACGACTACGTAGCAGTGATCGCTTGACCTCCTCTACATTCCTCCACTGTGTGTAGTGATACGTCGTGGGTGTCATTGTTCTTTGCATTGCATTTGCAAACAAAAATGTCCTCGTTAATAAAAGCGCCACGAGAAGTAAACTTGCATTTCTGTGGCAGTCAAAGTTGTCTTGTCTTTGAGTGAGCCGTTTTTAGGTCACACATACGGATACGTGTATGTGTGTACGTGTGTGCAGAATTCCTCTCTCAAGCCACGATTACACATGCATGAACATCTATTTTCGTCCACAGGCTCTCAGGAGAGGATGCTCTTAGTTATGGATCTGAGGGTTCATTATAGACATGTTTATTTCAGCACGCAAGTTAAGTTTTCAAAATTCCAAAATCCTCCTGACAATTATGCCAAAGGTTTAATACCACCCTTGAAACCAAATTACCTTTACTGAAACCAGATTGAGAACACACACCTGGTCTGAGATCAGTGTCTAAGAGCATCTTCATCCAGCTCCGTCAGTAGGACACACGTCACTGAAACCACCAGAGGCACATTTCAAACACCTTCGTCTGTCACACACACGACGAGGCAAACTGCCGACTGTATCACTCAAAGACAATAATAATACACGTGGTGGGAGGCGGTAGAGAGTGACAGTAAATTGGCGCGGGGGTGAAGGGAGTTTGGTAAGGCTCAAGGTGCAGATTACACTGTGCACATATTGCCTGGAGGAGGGAGGGTGAAAGCACTCTCATGGCTGGACGGAGGCTGGGGAGGTCAGGTGGGGCAAGAAAGGCTGGTG